GGATGATGGGGAACATGGTAATACCAGTGAATTCCATGAGCATGGGCCCACTGCCACACTTCATTTGCTGTGAAGTGAGAGCCCTTGATCTGAGGCAATGCTGTGTGGGATACCATGACAGTGGATAAGGCACGGATGGTAGTTTTGGCAGAAGCAGTGCGTGCAGGGAAGGCAAATCCATATCTGGAGTAAGTGTCTATTCCAGTAAGGACAAAACATTGCCCTTTCCATGGTGGAAGTAGTCCAATGTAATCAACTTGCCACCAGGTTGCTGGCTGATCACCTGGAGGAATGATGCCATATTGAGGATTCAGTGTCTCCAGTTTACTGATTATTTACCCATATGTCCCCATCCCAAATTTTAGGATCCCATTTCTTCCTAATCAATGCCCTTACTTTAACTTCAGACACCTCTCAAGGTTGGCAATTGAGCTGGCACTGTAATTCAGTCACTCTTAAACTAAGACTCTGGGTTTGGTTTTTGGCAATATTAGCTCTGTTACTACAAGAAATAAGGCTTTCTTTCAAAGCACAAGTGGAAACTTTGAGGTCATTTATCTGACCTTGAGCTCTGACTCTGAAGCCTTGAGCGCATCTCTTTCTTTCACTGGTTTGTCTAGCGAGAGTAGGACCGACCAACCGGCTTCCTTATACTTCTTATTCTGACAAAACTGTAGAAAGATATCACATATGTGTTCACCTCGAGCCTTGCCTTTCACCAATACCTGATCTATTGGTGGTGATATTTTGCATATTTGTATCGCCACCTCACACCATGGATTAGCAGTGCCCTCTTTACTGCTGGAAGCAGAGTCATCAACATCTTTAAGACTAGCCAAACTTGAGAACCAATTTAGATAACTCATCCTTATAATTTTGTTTCTCTAGAACCACTCTCGGTAGCAAACATCTTAGGCTGGGTTCTCTAGAGAGGCAAAATCAGTAAAGCATATAAATATATCAAAGAAATGGCTCACACAATGGTAGAGGCTAGAACGTCCCAAGTTTGTGGATTAGGATAGAGGCTTCTCCCGATTCATGTAGCTGCAGGGGCTGGTGGACCCAAGATGAGAAGGTCAGAATGCAGGGCTCTTGCTAACAGGCTGTGAATATCAACAAACCCAAGACTGGCAGGCAAGACCACAAGGCTTCTCCTGATTTACGTAGCTGCGGGAGCTGGCAAACCCAAGATCGGCAGATCAGAGAGCAGGGCTCCACTCACAGGCTATGAAGATCAACGAATTCCAAGACTTGCAGATTGGCTGACAGCTCAAGTCCCAAGAACCAGAGGTCAGATGAACAGGAGGCAGCCGCAGGATCCAGAGCAAGCAAAAAGTCAGAATGTCTGCTTATATTTGGATGTAGGCCACACCCCCAAGGAAACTCCCTTTCAACTGAATGGCTACTCACAGCAGATCCCATCATGGGAGTGATCACATATGAACACTGAGAATCATGGCCCAGCCAAGTTGACACAAAATCTTAACCATCACACAAAGTATGATAGTCATCAGGAGGAAAAGCGCTTGTGATTAAGTTCCTTTAAGGAATACCATTTTTGCTTAAAAGAGCAAATGACAGACAAACTATGATTATTTAGACTTGTGTATATTGCAGACATTTCCCAAAAATGAACAAAGTGTTTCTGTAGGGAAAGCAACTGACAATATCTGTTGCCAATAATAAAATCTGAGCTATCAAACAAAAATCAGAATTTTGGAAGGCTTTTATCTGTCTCTGTGAACTCGACAACGTCTCAATAATTAAAGACTTCTCTGACAGACAGGTGGATATACTAACAAATGGGTTTTTTTGGTATTGTATGAAGTGTTAACATTTGGCAGATCTGTATAACCAAAATATGTGTTGTTATGAAATCATGCATGGGTAAAGATCCATTCAGAGCACAAGACTGACCAATGGATTTTAATAAAACAGAATGAAAATGTCACTGATACGGTTTCAGATGCTACATTGCAACTAAACTTTAAGAAAAGTGTCACTAGTCCAGTTTTGTATTGCATCAAAGAAGAATATCCACTATTATCTGAAAAAGTTGTTAAATTAATTCTTTTTCCAATTATTTCTCTTTGTAATGCCAGATTTTCTTCATATAATTCAACCTAAACAACATTATCATAACAGAATGAATACAGAAGGATATATGAGAATCTAGCTGTATTCTATTAAGCCAGACATTAAAGAGATTTTCAAAAATGTAAAACAATACTTCTTATTGCTTTAGAAAATAGTTATTTTTCACAAAAATAAGTGTTTTGTTAACATGTAACTGGTTTAGTATTGTCTCAGCTTAGTTTTAAATACAGTAAAGTAAATAATGATAGAAATCATCCACATAAACAAAAGCTCTTAGGGAGTCCTCAATATTTTTTTAAGCGTATAAAGGGGTTCTGAGACCAAAAACAGTAAGAACCATTGCTCTAGTATGTTCTCTACGAGATATACCATTTCCAGGTTTAAATAAAGAAAACACAGACAAACGAGATATTCCACATCAATCGCATATCTCACACACCCTACAACTATCATGCCTCCTTAACTTTTGCCCTTGGAGAAACTGTTCAATGTCTGAATTTTTCTACACGAATAAAGTTGGGACTCTCCCAACGTAACAACTTACAACACTGAGGAGTTCGTATCTTATATACATCTGAAGAACTCATCTGCCTTACTGGGAAGGGAAGTTTTACCAGTTGATCATCACCTCCAAATATGGTAAGTGAAGGAGGGAGGCAGGTCTTTCTCTTCCTTCAGGTAGTAACATTCAATTTTTTCTATGGTTGACTGTGCTGTTATCTGCCTCCCTTCCCAACGCCCCTCCACAAAATTAAGAGGACGAAAACAGAGAATGGCAGAAACCTAGCAAGAAAGTTGGCACTGGCAGCATAAAAGTTCAAGGGAGGCCTTGGGAAGCGAAAGAAATAAAAACTAAGAAAATGGTTAAGAAGTGTAATAGTTAAGAGTGTGGGCTTTCCAGTCTAACAGATTTAGTTAACACTTCAGCTCTGCAGCTTAGAAGTGGCATGGCCTCCGGCCAATTACATTAAAACCCTATGCCTCATTTTGTCTATTGTAAAATGGAAATATGAATGCCTACTTCATAGATTTGTTGTAAAGTCTAAATGAATTAATGTATGTAAGCATTTCATACAGTATCTAGAATAGAATATATTCTTAATAACAGCAATTTCATTCAAGGCAGAAATTACTGAGGTTCCTGGGTGGTGCAAATGGTTTCCATACTCAGTTGCTAACATAAAAGACTTATACAAGGAAAACTAAAACACTACTGCAAGAAACTAGAAGAAATCTACATAAACGGAAAAACATTCCATGCTCATGGATTGGAAGACTTAACATTTTGAAAATGTCAATACTACCAAAAGCAATCTATAGATATAATACAATCCCAATCCAAATCCCAAACAACATTCTTTAATAAAATGGAAAAACTAATCTCATAGTCTATATGAAAAGGAAAGAGATCAAGAATAGCTAAAGTAATATCGAAGAAGAAGAACAAAGTAGGAGGCCTCACACTTCCTGATCTCAAAACTTACCACACGGCCACGGTAACCAAAACAGCCTGGTACTAGATCAATGACAGACACGGAGACCAATGAAATAGAATTGCAAACCCAGAGGTAAATTCATCCGTCTACAGGCAGCTGATCTTTGACAAAGGGTCAAAGTCCATTCAATGGGGAAGAAAAGTCTCTTTAACAAATGGTGCTGGCAAAACTCGATATCCGTATGCAGAAAAATGAATCAGGATCCATACCTCCCATCATTTTGTATAGTTAGTACAAAAACTAACTCAAAATTGATCAAAGACCTAAATGTTAAAGCTAAAACTATAAAGTTCCTGAAAGATAACAAACGATTAAAACTTGGGGACATAATTTTCAGCCTAAACAGCCTATCAAACAAAGCTAAAAATGTACGAATGACAAAAGAGAAAATAGATAACTAGGGCCTCCTAAAAATTAAATACTATGCTCATCAAAAGACTTTACCAAGAGAGTAAAAAGAGAACCTACAGACTGGGAAAAACTCTTTGACAAAGACATACATGATAATGCTCTAATCTCTAAAATATACAGAAAACTTTAACAACTCAACAACAAAAAGACAAATAATCCAAACAAAAAATGGGCCAAGAACACGAATAGACATTTCACCAAACAGGACATTCAGGTGGCCAACAAATACATGAAAAGATGCTTGAGATCTTTAGCCATGAGAGAGATAATGCAAATCAAAACTACAATGAGATACCATCTCATCCCTGCAAAAATGGCTATGATCAAAAAAACAACAAATGCTGGTGAGGTTATAGGGGAATTAGAACTCTTATACGCTACTGGTGGGACTGTAAACTGGGACAGCCACATATGGAAAACAGTATGGCACTTCCTCAAAAAGCTAGAAATAGAAATACCTTATGATCCACCAATCCCACTCCCAGGTATATATCCTAGAGATATAAGAGCAGTGACATGAATAGACATATGCACACCTATGTTCACTGCAGCATTATTCACAATAGCAAAAAAGATGGAAACAACTTCAGTGCCCATCAATGGATGAATGGATAAACAAACTGTGATATATATATAATGGAATACTATCCAACTGTCAAGAACAATGAAGAGTCTGCAAAACATAATATGGATTAATCTGGAGGACATTATGCTGAGTGAAATATAAATCAATCACAAAAAGACAATATTGTATGATCCCACTATTATAAAAAGCCAAAAACTGATACACACACACACACAATACTAGATAAACATAAGCACAATTCAGGAAAGGATAGAATGAACCTTCAGAGTACCCCGGAGAACACTGATTGGTACTCAAAAAAATTCTGCTAAAATAAAGTAAGAAAGCTAAACACATTATAACAGAACACCTTCTAAAAAGAGCACTGCATGTAATTAGAAACACCAACATGTATGGAAATTAGCACTTACCAAAAGGCTGTAAAACTGCTTAATTAGAACAGACACTACTCTCAGCAAACGCATGCAGATGGGAAAATACGGTTTTTCAACTGGTGCCGGGGAAGATGAAGTGCTGGAACCTTGTCTGAATTTTATATTTGGAGAAAACAGCTTTATCACAAGAGGACATACCCTTTCTTTGAGAAGGAAACTAAATTCTTGGTGCTAGCAAAGAAAAGAAAAAAGAATTAAAAAAAAAAAAAGAATTAAATTAGTTTGTACTTAATACTTCTAAAACAGTCTCCTAGAAAAAAAAACTTAATCAGTATTAATAATTTAGCTTTATTATAAGTTTATAGCATTTATATTTTACAGTTTATGCAGTTCTGAAATTAATGCTGTTCTTTGAGAGTGCAAGATCAAAATGATAATATTTCAATAAGTTTTAAAAAGTAAATTAAAAGGAACATTTAATAATTTTAGAATTGAGTAACTGGTGCTTATTACTAGTAACTTTAATTTCAGTTACACACTGACAATTAAAGTATAAAGAACTGAAGAAAGAAAATATTACTCAAATTCAAACATAGCATTTAAATTAGGCAGCTAGAGAAAGAAAACTTGATTATGTAAATATAAAGTTATATAATTTACTGATTTCATTTTGCAAAGATAACAATTCCATTTGTGCAGGTACGATTTAATGATTAACTTTAAAATTTTTGTTTTACTTGTATTACTTAAGCAGAACACAACGAACTGACTAAAAAATGACGAACAAGCATAATTATTTTAAAAGTTTGGAGAATTTTGCAGAATTCTTAAATTCTACTTATGGTCATGGCACATTACATACAAAGTCATTTTTAATCTTTAATTCCCTGCCTATATTAGCCAAGAGTAGTCCCACTTTACCAACAATGTAAGGCCTACTCTGCATTTAATGACTAATCTCAAATATATTTTATTTTGTTTTAATTATCCAAATTTCATTAGAGCTGAGAATGAAGAAAGAATCGTAAAAATCATCCAATCCAATCCTTTAATCTTATAGGAAAGGGAAATTAGGCACAAATTACTCACTAAAAATCACAACGCTTTTAAAATGTATCTTTAAAAACTCACTTATTAAAGAAAAAAAATTCAAAAATACAGTTAAGTAAAAAGACGAAAATAAAAGCCTTACCTAATCTCACCACCTAGAGACAAGTCTGTCCCTGTTAACTTCCAGATGTACATACTTTCTGACATTTAAATGCATTTGAATGGTACTTTTTAATTCTTTCCCCCAAAAATAGGATCTTAACAGTTAAGTGATCTGAAATTCTACTCTCACATGTACAGTTAGTTTCTCTGACTAAACGAAAAGTATAGTTAAGTCTATTTTCATACTTTATAAAAATAATTATTTTATGTATTGGCTAATATTATTATAGACAACTCCTACAAGTTTATCTACTATATCCACTGCTCCTCCCTCACTACTCAACTCATTGCAATTGGGTTTCTTCCTCCACCACCACCATGTACTTCTATGCCACTAAAACTATTCTTATTGTAGTCACCATGATTTCTATGGCTAAAGCAAACACTGACTTTTCAGTCTTCATCTTTCCAAATCTCTTAGAAGCACCTGACATAACTGATTACTTGGTTCATCTTGAAACTTTCTTTGCCTGTCTTTTATTACGTCGTCTCTCACATTTGTTCCTGCCTTTCTGGCCTCCTGTTCTCAGTCTCTTTTGTATGCTCATCCTCTCACACCCCACCATTTAATGTGGAAGCTCCTCAGAGCTCCAGAGTATCAGGCCTTCTCTTCCTACTCTATGCGTTCTCCATAGATGATCTCATTCAATCCTACATCTTCAATTAGCAACTATGTCAGCAACATTAACATTTACAACTTTAGCCCAGACCTTCCTTCTGAGTTCAAGATTCATAAACCCAACTAACATTTTATGTGTTTCACAGACATTTCAAAACAAGTATGTGCGAAACTGAATAGTCGCTTCCTTGTAATAAGCAGAGAATCATCTTAGCAAATGGCTCACTGCTTAAGCCAGAAAGCTGAAAGTTATCTTTAAAACTGCCTTTTTCCTAGACGGTTGATATGTTGTGGGGTTGTTAACCAATGTCATAAAACAACATGTGTACTTCTGTTTCATGAGAAACTATTTGCTCTGTAAGCCTTCACCTGAAGTACAATTAAAAAAAAAACGCCTTTTTCCTCATCAACTTCAATAATTCATTGGTTTATTCAGCAATTACTTCTAAGTGCTGAATACGTGCTGGGTACTGTGCTAGACAACGGGGATACACAGTTAAACACAATTTTCAATGTCTCTATGTATTTTCTAGAACAGAAGACAGACCCTTTCTCAGGGTCACTGTTCTTGCAATGTCCTCTGTCTGGAGTATCCTTTTCCTATTCCACCTCTCTCGTAACTACTCTTCAGCCTTCAAGTACAAGCTTAAGAATCATATACTTGATTCATCCCTACCCCCGTCCCACACACACACCAACCAGGTTTGGTACCTACGTTATTCATTTCCATAGCACTTTTTACACTTTTCTTTCACAGAACTCTCTATACATCTTATCTTCAGTAAATTAACATCTTCCTCCCCATTAGATTTGTAAGCACCCCAGGGCAGAGATTTTATTAGTCTTATTTAACTTCTAAATCCTTGGCACTGAACCCATAGACCAGCACATTGTAGCTGACTGGTAAATACTGGCTGAATGAGTGAAAGATGAGTAAATGAAAACAAATATTTATCTCTTTGGAAGAAAATTTTGTAAGATTAAGTCTAGGATCTTACATAGAATAATTATTCCCCTCCCCCTTACTACAGCAGAAAAAATAGAGTAGGAATTTTGTGGGTACAGTAAGTCTGGGAAAACATTTTGAAATCTTTTCCTACAAAGTCAGAAAACATAATACAACCTATCAAAATTTCTAATTCAAATTCGTTTACCAATTCACTGATTCTACAAATATTTATTAAATACCTACCACATGACACAGTATTTCTAGGTACCTGTACAATAGTGAACTAAGTCTCCGCCTCACAGAGCTTACCTTCTTGCAGGGGAAGAGAGAAAATAAACTAATAAACACATGTATATCAGGAGGTGGTAAGTGCTATAAAGAAAAATAAGAGGTAAGAAAGGTACGGGTTTTAGCATGAAAAAAAGGTTACCAATTTACACAGAGTGGTTGAGGAAGGTTTGTCTGGTAATTTGATGGCTGAACAAAGTCCTCAAAAAAGGGAGCAAGCCATATGGGAGAAAAGAATTCCAGGCCCAGAAAACTGTAAGTGCAATGGTCTTGAGGCAGAAGTCTGCTTGGGGCACTTAAGGAGCAGCAAAAGAGAGAGTATGGCTAAAGGGGAAGAGTAGGAAGAGATAAAAACAAAGAATATTGGGAACTAGATCATGAAAAGGCCCACAGACCATAAAAAGGACTTAAATCTTCTACTCCGGGTGAAGAGGACATCTACTGAAGCACTTTTACAAAGGACTGAAACAATCTGACTTGTTTTAAAAGACCATCCTGGGTGTGGTGCGACAAGCAACTACGGTAGAGCAAGTGCAGATGCAAGGAGACCAGTTAGGAAGCTAATGCAGTAATTCAGACAAAGAATGATGGTGGCTTGGAATAGGACGACTGTGGTGGAAGTGGCATGATTGAGTCTTCGATATATTTTTAAGGTGATGGCTAGGATGTGGGGTATAAAAGAAAAAGAGGGGTTAAGAGGAGAAACTAATTTGGAATCTGGATCAACACAGGTTGAAATTCCAACTCCATCACTTACAAACCATGTAACCTCGGACAAATTACTTAACCCTCTGCAACTCTCAGTTTCCTCATTGTACACTTCAGGTATTTTATGAGAATTAAACTTAATGTGGTACGTAAAAAATATGGCACAGTCATAGCATCTAGTAGGCACTCAAAAAGTGGTAGTTATTATAACCATCATTTTATATAAAACTGTTGGACAACAGCCCAGGGACAAGGACTAGAAGGTAGGAGGGGACAGGAAAGCTGGTAATAGGGAACCCAAGGTCAAGAAGGGAGACTGTTGACATGTGGGGTTGTTAACCAATGTCATAAAACAATATGTGTACTAACTGTTTAATGAGAAACTATTTCTTCTGTAATCCTTCATCTGAAGTACAATAAAAAATAAAATAAAAAAAAAAACTGTTGGACAAGTCACATCAAAATATGGCTTGTCCTAATATAAGGAAGGAAATCATCAATTAATATCATTTATTATCACTAAAAGCATTAACAATTGCCTAATGTATACCAAAATGATGAACCATATCAAAAAATTTTCAGCCCCAACTCCTTGGCTAAAGGATCTTATACTATCATGGCACTCAACTCGTATATTTTATAGACAACAGCAAAGGATAAAATGGATTACTTAGGGAGGCAGCATGGTAGGGGAAGGAGCTATATCAGTAGTTCAAAGATTTTAGTTCAAGATCTGCTAATAACTAAGGAACTCTCTGTAAGTCATTGAATCACTTCTGGACTTCAGTTTCTGACAAGTAAAATGGTTAAGTCTGAATTGTTTCTTACTTTTTTTCCTATTAACTTTGTTTTGAAACATTTCATATTGCACACCATATTTGTTAAGCATTGACTTAATTCTTTTTTTCATTTAAATTGTCCAAAACACATAGCTACATACATAAGTAAAAATCAGTAATACAATTTCTATTAGGCTTTTAAATATTATAAAAATAACTCATATACCACAGTCCCTTTATAGACCTATAGGCTGGGAAACCACTGGCTAGCTACTCTCTAAGATTCCCTCTAATATTAAAATTTCATAATATTAAGGCACTAAAAAAATGTAACATAACACTAAATTGTTATATGTTTAAAGTCTGAGGCAATAATTCTTTGCATTTATTAATGTGAAAAAAATACATGCTGCCTTCTTTAAAAAATGGTATCTGAAAAAATTAAAGATTAATCTTGCTACAAGATACTACAAACGGCTTACTTGTAAAAAGACTTGTGGAAAATCATTCAGGACTGACTCAAGTAATTCGAGGCCAAATGTCCGAGTCATTTCTGTCATGCCTACTAGCCAGTAAGGGGCATCAGCATTAACCAACTGACAAAGGTCCTGGGAAAATAAATCAAACAAGTTCATGTTTAGAATAAAATGTGTCTTTCAAAACTCATAGTTGACAAAATTAATAAGAAAAAAAAAAATCTCTCTTCTTATATAGCAGTTATTTTTGCTCCTAAGAAACTAAGCATCCGTAATTCAAATTCTGGCAGGTTACATACTTGATAGATTCTATAAGCGAACTTTTAAACAATCTTATAACAACTGACAATATACAACATATACAGACAATCGGTTAATTTAACATTCTTTTGATGAAAAACCACTTAAAAATAACTCTTTAATCCAAATTAATAAATTTTTCAGTGCAGATTAATCTTACTTTACTTAAAATATTTTTTCACAAGAAATGTAGAAAACAGTTATCTATGTATCAAATTATATTAAATAGAGCAAAAATTTCTATAAAATTTCCTTGTTAAAGGAATTATTTTATATATGACTAAAAAACAAAAACATAACCAGTTGCCATCAAGTTGATTCCTACTCATGGCGATCCCATGTGTTTCAGAGTAGAACTGTGCTCCATAGGGTTTTCAATGGCTATGATCTTACAGAAGTAGATCACCAGGCCTGTCTTCCACTGCATTGCTGGGTGGTTTCAAAACACCAACCTTTCAGTTAGTAGTTGAGTGCAATCATTTGCCCCATCCACGAACCTTAAAACCAGCTGCCGTTGAGTCGACTCGACTCACAGTGACCCCATCACTATTTTCTAGTTCTGGGTTTAATTCATTCTATATCCTTAAAGTGAATTGTAACAGTTTATCAAGTTAATTAGCTACTACACAGTAAATGCAGAAGTTGCTCTTTAATTTTTTAGAACGTTTTTCTCTTAATTCTACTTTTGACATATTTTAATTAGAAAAATTAAATCGGACATAAATTTTCAAATAATTTACACAAAATTTTATATTAAAAATTATTTTTCTGAAATACCTGAAAAAGCATATATGCATCTTTAGCACAAGGTTTGAGGGTACTGACAGATCTTCTATTACTGTTTCCTTGGACAAGTACTGGTTGTTCTATAATAACTGCAATCAAAATAGGATGAGTTTTAGGAGTTCATAACAGCCTATAATAAATCATATATACTATTTAAGAGTTATGTATAAAAAAATACTTGTTTATAGAACTATAAACATTGATTGTCAGTTCAAAACTATGCCTCTGAAGTGAAAAAATATTTGGGGATTTATTTTTATACAAAATGCCATAAAAATCACTATTATCTTATATTCACTTTAACAAGCCTAGTATTTTTGTCCATACATTTGATTTTCCCAGTCTCCCATTTTTCAACTCCTTTACTTCATAAATTTGAAATTCACATAATCTTTGTGCCTTTAAATAATCAAACACACAAAAGTTCCCCATACAGTTAATTACTAAATCATCTTACCATCTGTACTAGAATTAACTGCTTGATTTGCCACGATTACTATGTCAGTGTTACAGGTTAAGTGCTAGCTAAGAGTCAGCTAGCATGGTGTTTTCCAATTCAGCATTTCTTTGAATACTAATATCATTACCTGTAAATTATTACAGCCTGTTTTAAATAAATGTTGACTTAATGACTACTTGAAACAGATTCTAAGTATTTTCTACCTTATTAGAAAGTATTAAATGAGATACTAGCCTTCAGAGACACTCAACTTAAACTATCAATCCAGGAATTGTATTGAGGCTCTGAATTTGTAAATTGAGGTTCTGAATTTATAAAACACTCATACTGGAAACCTGACCTATTTTTATTAAATGTGATTATGAATACTTTAAGTGTGCTGTACTGTAAGACTAATTCCTTAACATTCTAAACTGCTAGAATTCCACCTGGTTTTTCCCAAGAAATATATAGAAAAATCAACATACAAAAGTCAGAGGAAGTATTCTAATCACCCAATGGGTTAAGAGTGCCTGAAACTGAATGAGAAAAATTTGACTATTCACTAATGGTTAATTTCATGAAAAGTGAAGTCATTATTAGAGTAGATAGTATTACAATTAGTTACTAGCACTGCCATTTTTTACCACTATTGCCAAAAGACTATCTAATGTAATGAAAGATAGTAACACACATATATTATGCAAGAAAAAATACTTTAATCTTTTGTTTCTTGATTACATGATGGAGACAGGTTGTTCATGATTGTAGCATCTTGTAATCTTTTCAACTGATCACAGGAAAAATTCTACTCTTCATCCAGTAAGGATGATAAATGAAAAATATAATATCTAATATTAAACGTTATCAAATTTGACTTCGGGCAACATGGCGCTACAGACAGAAGCACCACGCTGCCCCTCCAAATAGAGACAAACGTCAATCCTGAAACCCTAAGCATCAAATGAAGAGATAAAGAACTCAGGAGAACACCAAATGGAACAAGAAACTGACAGAGAACAGACAGAGAAGAGAGATACATGCAGAGATCCTCTATGAGCTACTGCAGCACAGATCTGCCATCCTGGACTCCTATCAGAGACTGGAAAACAGGGAGTATGGGAAAGCAGCTTCATGGAGCTCACAGCAGAAGACAGAACACCTGGTAACCAGCAATATATGCTTTCCCACCGCCCACCCATTTTCACCCCTACTCAGCCTCCTGTGGTTCCTGCAGCCACAGTCTCTTGGCCAGGAAGCACTGGCTTCACCACTGTGCCACTTGGATTCCACTTGCCCGCAGTGGCTGGCTCCCTGAGTGCCATTTGTTGGCTGCTGATGTTGCTTTTTCCGCTTCCTTTGGTTTCTTCCATACCTCTCCCCACCTCCCCCTCCTTTCTCTCAAATACCCAGCTCCGTGTGCCATCTTCACTTCTTCCTGAAAGGCTGTGAAATGCCACTCGACTGTGGAACTGCTTCCGGGTCCATGCTACCACACTGGTGGGATCCCTGGAGTTTTTTTTGTTTGTTTATTTTGATTTATTCTGTTTTGATTGTTTGTTTTCTTTTTCCTTTCTCGGCCTGGGAGCCTCTTCTAGCTGGGCAGTACTGTGCGGCTTAGGAGCTACTCCCTTAGTCTGTGCAGCTTCGCAGTGGGATCCCTAAGGGCATTTCTTCTTTGTTTTTCATTTGTTTTTGCTTTCTTTCTTCTGTATTTTTCTTTGTTGTCTTTCTTCATTTCTGAGTTTCTCGTTTCTCTATACTTACCTTTTCTTCCTGTCTTCTGAATACCTGGTGCTCTATGACACCTCTACCCCTTCTAGCCGGGCCATACTTCACGGCCTGGAAGCAACTCCCTCAGTCCTTGCAGCGCGCTGGTGGGATCCCTGGGGGCTTTTCTTTTCTTTCTCTCTCTAATTTTTATTTACTCATTTTTTTCTTTTACTCTTTTTTTTTCCTTTTTGCTTTTCTCCATGCCTCAGTGTCTCATCTGTCCACTCCAATGGCAAGCTCCCTTAGCACTCTTTTTTGTTTGTTTGTCTGTTCCTCTGCATGTTTTTGGCTCTTGTTCCTCTCTCCTCTCTCCTCTTTCCTCTTTCCCATACCCACCTTAGCTCCACACATCACGATCTCCCCCCTGCTTCCTGCCTAGCGGCATCATGTGCTGAACTTCATACCCCAAGCAGCACAGGCATGGCCTACCGGAACCTGCCCTGCACTGAGTCCTGGCCCACCCTGTCGGCCCTAGTACGTGCCATAAACAATCCATCCCAGCAACTCCACTTCAGCTGGACCTGTCCTGCTGTATGATACCTGAGCAACTGACCCTGCCCATTGGAGAAGGAGGCAAAAAGTATCATGTCCACACACAAGCACACAAGAAAGAACACACAGCCCGCCTGCTCAGACATAACCAAATAAAACAAAAGAGCAGGACAAAACAAATTTACAATCAGTAAATAAGGAAAAAACTACCGAATGTCCCGAAGACAGCACACAATATCAAAACATATTAAAAAAAACAGGACAGGATGGTTCCAGCAGGCATCCAAAATTAAACACAAGTTGACTTTCCAGTAGAAGAAAAGGCACCAGAACTACCTGACATGGAATTCAAATCTCTAATATTCAGAGATATCCAAGAGTTCAAGCAAAAAGTAGACAAAAATAAGGAAAAAATAGACAAATTCATGGAAAAGGTAGACAAACTCATGGAAAATACAAACAAAAAAATGGAAGAATTCAGGTATATAATACAGGAACAAAATGTCAAAATAAATTCACAACTAGAAATCATACAAAAACAACACTTGGAAATCCAAAAGATAAACAACAGGATTTCATAAATGAACAGCTTCATAGAAGGGCTGAGGAACAGGTCTGAAATGATGGAGGACAGGATCAGCAAAACTGATGACAAACATGTGGATACAACCTGTTTGAGGAAAAATCAGAAAAAACAATGAGGAAAATGAAGAAACCCTGAGAATTACATGGGATACAATCAAATGCAAAAATCTGCAAGTGATCGGAGTTCCAGAACAGTGGAATAAAACAGAAAATACAGAGAGGATCACTGAAGAACTGCTGACAGTAAACTTCCCCAAGATCATGAAAGATGAAAAGTTGACCATCCAAGCAGCTCAACGAACCCCATATAGGACAGACCCCAAAAGAAAATCACCAAGGCATTTCATAATCACACTTGCTAAAACCAAAGACAAGAATTCTGAGAGCAGCTCGAGAAAAACAAAAAAGTCACATACAGAGGAGAAACAAATAAGACTAAGCTTGGATTATTTGGCAGAAACCATGCAGGCAAGAAGGACATGGGATGACATATATAAAACCTTGAAAGAAAAAAATTGCCAGCCAAGAATAATATATCCTGAAAAACTCTCGTTCCAATATGATGGTGAAATTAGGACATTTCCAGATGAAAAGAAATTAAGGGATTATGTAAAACCCAAATACCAAACTTACAAGAATTATTAAAGAGAGTCCTTCGATTTGAGAACAAATAACATCAGACTACAGGCTGAATCTAGGACGCAGGATCATACCAGCCAGATACCAACCTAGGAAATGAACTCTCAAGGACTATCCAAAACCAAAAGAATTACAACACAGAACCAGAGAGGTTAATCTGGAAATGACAAAAACATCAGAACAATAAAACAGGGAATAAACAGTGTAGGTATAGAACCTTCAAATGGAGAGGAAGGCAAGGTGATACCAAGTAATAATAGACTGCTTCAAACCTAGGAAGATAAGGGTAAGTTTCAAGGTAACCACAAAGAAAGTTAACAAACCTACTCATCAAAATAAAGAAGAAAAACATAGTCTCAGTAAAAAAAAAAAAAACCTACAAAAATAAAATAAATGAAAAAAAAATCTACAAACAAAAGGAATTCAGCACAGGAGAGTAAGAGGAACAAAGAAAACATCTGCACCACAAAAAGACAGCAATAAACTCACATCTATCAATAATTACACTGAATGTAAATGGTCTCAATATACCCATAAAGAAACGGAGAGTGACTGAATGGACAAAAAAACAGGATCCATCAGTATGCTGTCTACAAGAGACACACCTTAGAAACAAAGACGGAAATTTATTAAAAATCAAAGGATGGAAAAAAATATATCAAGCAAACAGCTACCAAAAAAGAGCAGGAGTGGCAATACTAATCTCAGATAAAATAG